CCGGGACCAGATGCGGTAGGGAAAAGAAAAGCTTGTTAGCTGCGGCTCTGTGAGTTTTCTGGGGGAAGATCAGTTCACCCTGGAGAGTCTTTAAGGGCTACTTCAAACAGAAAAACCTCTAAGGGTATCAAACAGGCTGGGCCTTGGGGTGTAGGAGGGAGCATGCAAGCAGGTTGCACGTGCGTAGTTCTAACACCTTCACTCTTGCAGAGAAGCTCCGGTACTAGGAAGCTTAGAGATGTCTCCCTGACCCTGTGCAGGTGTGCCCGCAAACCCCTCCTCCATCCTCAGCAGCACCCGAGGGTGTAGATGTCCTGCTGGACGAGAATTCTGCTGCCTCCACTGTTGGGCCCCTAGTGCTGCCTATAACTGGGGAGTCCTTGTGTCGGTTTGTGGTCTGGGAACTCAGGCACACCCACCTTCAAAGCTGAAGCCCCCAGGACCGCCAAAGAATGCCTTGAAGATATTGTTTGCATCAAAATCTGCGGAGCAAAGTGAGAAGCAGAGAAGGCACAAAAAAGTAAAAAAATGAGAAGTGTCTGAAGAGGACCTTAAGAGAGACCCATTCTCTAATGGGTCTCCAAAGCTTTCCCAGATAATATCACTTCCCTCCTTTCCCCAAACTTCACCGACGAGAGGTGATCCCACTACTTGATCCCACTCCTGGGATGTGTTCCCTTCTTCCAAGCATGGTCCCAAAGGAAAGCTTTCTTTGCCTCAACCCGCTTCACTGGGCCTTCTCAACAACTGGAAATGCCATTTGCGTTTTACGACGTTAAGACTTTCTCCACACTGTCTCCCTATAATGCTGGGGCTGCTACTGAAAAGACTAAAATGTATCACTTAAGTGCTACTAAGACTGTATGTAAGAATGACACCCAGGATTTACTGCATGTGTTTGATGCCATACTCTGTCTACACTGTATGCCAGGAAAAAAGCTATAGTTTACTAAGCACCTACCAGGTGCCAATCACGGTGCTGGGTACTTTGCATACATTATATCACTGAGTACCAATTTATACTCAAAAAAACCTAAGCAGAAGCTCAAGTAACTTGCCCAAGATCACGTGGCCAGTGAAAGCAACAAAACAACACTGCCAACTCCTGTGTGCCTCTAGCACCGTGCTTTCTTCACCAGGCCACAGCAGGTCTCACATCCCCAGTCTGCCTAACTCTGTAAGCTGCACAGGACTTATCTCCACCAGGCAATCCCACTCACAGGCACATCGTGTCCAAAAGTGAATTCTTCTTTGCCTGTGTATCTGCTCATGTTCCTGGGTCCCCAGCTCAGGGAATAGCCCAGCCCCATCAGGTCAGCTGTGCCAAAGCCACTCTTGACTTAGTCCTCTGCCTCTCCCAACATGTTCTGCAGCCACTCCTGTTGATTCTCACACTGTCTCCCGACTGTACCCTCCAATTCTCTCCTAGTGATTGTGTCTTCCCTCCTCCTCACCCTTTCCAAACCAGCTCGCCTCACTGCCATCACAAATACATCTCCAGAGCCTAAATGGGGTCCATGGCTCCCCGACTTATATCCCTTCAACAACTTTCGACTGCTTACAACTCTTCTCAACTGCTGGGCAGAGCAATGTTTATTATTTTTGGGGGGAGGGGGAGCTGCACCTCGCAGCATCAAAACCATGCCCCCTACAGCGGAAGCGCAGAGTCCCAACCACTGGACCGTCAGGCAAGTCCAAAGCTAGGTTTTATAACACACACACAGACACACACACAGACACACACACACACGAACTGGCAAGTCAGAACTATCTGTAGAGCATAATCAACCTTCTTTTACATTCCAATAGATTTTCTCAGTGGAAGAGAAAGGGCTGGCGTCACAGGCAGTGGCCTGAGAACTGCATGGTTCAGGGCTTCTTTTATCTCCAGCTAGGCTCACAGTCAGCAATGATGCTCACGGCTGCACTTCACTTCATTCTAGGTCTTCTGGGGAAACTGAAGTCTGTGAGGGCTTACAGGAATGTGTGAGACGCATAAATATCAGCAAACACTTTGCAGTGGGGGAGGAAAGAACTTCCAGCCAAAAGGAAAAGCCCACATTCTTTCCTGTAGCCTCTAAGGCCTGCTGAGGTCTGACCCAGCTTCTGTGCAGTTCTCACCGCTCTGTGCCTCGAGCACCCTCTATCCTCCTAGCCGAGCCCCTGGTAGCTCCCACAAGGTGCTATGCTTTTCTGCACATCCAAGCCTTCCCTTGCTAGTGCTGACCTCCTCGGCACCCACTCTGCACCCTTGACACCTGCTATATTTTATTGCCCTCGTTGGACTCCGTGTCTATTAGACCAGGGGTCAGACTCGGCCTATGGGCCAGAGTTTGCAAACCCCTGGACTGTGGGTTCCCGGACGTCAGGGAATGTTTGATTCACCTTTGTTATTTCCCACACCCATCAGAGTACCTCACACATTACAGCTACTCATCAGAGTGCACTTTACAAATTGTGGCGCGTCACTGGCTGATTACATAAGACTCTCCCTCTGGAGTGTCTTTAGAAAAAAATGGTAGCGTTCCGCAGCTGTCAGATTCATCCTAGGCTGCCCCAACCAACTCCCAACTCACCACCCATATTCATGCCCTCTTCATCCAGGTCTTGTCCACTGTCATATCGAGTCTTTTTCTTGGGGTCGGAGAGAATAGTAAAAGCTTCTCCGACTTCCTTGAACTTTTTCTCCTCCTCCTTCTGAACTTCAGCACTGGCTCCACTGTGCCGATCTAAAGGGAGGAGTACGGGAAGAACTCAGGGCCTCAAGAAAACAAAGTCTGACAGAAAGACCACATTATGCCTGATTTTAGAATCTGGTACTTCCCAAATTTGGAGGGTATGGAACTGAGCAACACCTTATTCCAGCTGAGCAGCCTCTCTGAGGCTTCCGTGCTGGACTGAGCTTGGCACGGCCAGCCTAGCCTGCTCCCCGCAGCGAGCCCCCTCCCCACCCACCCTACCTGGATGGTGCATCAAGGCCCGTTTCCGATAAGCTTTCTTGATCTCGTCCTCAGAGGCATTCTTGTCTACTCCAAGAATCTTGTAGTAATCTTTCCTCTTACTCTTCTTCAGTTCCAGCTGTGCATTTTTTAGGAGCTGCTTGTGTTCTGGAGGAAGACATCTGGCGTCAACGAACACGCCTGATTCTGGCTTCCCTTACCAGGCCCCGCCCAGATGCCCTGGAGTCAGAAGCCTCATTAACCATACCAGGGCCTTTTACGGTGTTTTCTTCTGGAGATTCAAAAAATCTACTGCTAGGTATGTTCTTCACATTGGCCTCATCACACAGAAAAGGAAGTGAAAGTGACAGGGAGGACTGGGGACCAGAAAACAGGTGCCTTGTCCCACTCTCGGGGTCTCTGCTCACTTCTTCAAATAAGCTCCAGGTTCATTCATCCCTGAATCAAACTACTCCGATGTCCAGTTTTAGGACCTACAAGTCAGACCACACGGTCCCCTGAGAAACGTGCTCTCAAACTCCTTTACCTTTCGTTTTCTCCGTCTGATACACTTTTTCATAGTCCCGTACTGCTTCTTCATACTGTTCTGTGTCCATGTAACTGAGAAGGAAATACAGGGCAGTACAGTGACATAAATAGCAATGGCCTTCAGTATCACTCTAGGGGAAGAGGCATGGCTCAAGTAAGAGACACACACTTTTGGTTGAGATGCTTCATGAAACAGGAGTCCTTAAGCTAGCCATGTGAAAAATGAACTACCAATTCCTCAAGAAAAAGAGAGAGGTCTCATGCCACTTGCACCTAACCAGCAAAGTGATATTCTGCTCTGAGCAGACAGCAACCAAGAGGAGAAAGTTCCTTCTGATTTCACTCAGAGCCACCAAAAGGGATCTGGATCACCTCAGGAGAGACAAATGTGAAGGTACCTACTTGATTACTTGGGACTGAAACACAGGAGAAAAACTATCGTGAGTTCAATGGATATCGAAGAGCTTGGAAACAGAGAGTGCCATAAACATGCAGCGCCAGCTCCAATCCAGAGTAGATGTGGGATTCGTCAGCCACTAGAAGGATCAAGTTCAAGGTGGTGGCTGCTGGCAAATGCTTCCATTAAGACTGATCAATCTGAGAGATGTAGGTTAATGAGATAGAAAAGGAGACTGTAAACACAGGCTTGCTTCTGTTTCAATAGCACAGAAGAATGGAGGGCCCCTGGCCCAAGATGGGAGGAAACAAGCTTGACAGGCTGATCGCCAGACCTTTTAAGTGTCTCTTCCACAGAAGTAAAGGGCATTTTCCTGATAATATCACTGGCTCCAAGACTGGCCTACCGATTAAACAGATGCTGGTAGCAGTTCCAGACAGTCACCATCAGCTGGGGAGTGGGAAGTGACCATGCAGTGCAGCTAGCCACTGCACAAAGAGGTTCAATTTATTACACTGCTGCCACACAAGCCGATCTTTGCAAACATCACAGAGCCCCACCAGGCTTAGAGGCCAGAGCAGGGGGAGCACTACTGATGTGGCTGGCAAAAGTGAAGCCCAACATCTTAGGCATCTGATTAATGACTTTTAAAAAATGGTGACAAAACCAATGCCCCACAGACGCAAGGCACAAATGCTACTAGGAGTACAGAGAACCCATTTGCAGGATGGAGTATAATAATATAAACTGAAGTTAACAGAAAATTAATAACTGACAGCTCTGGGTATAGAAATGATGTGACAAACAAGCTACCTTGATGGACTTACCAGGCCCTACATAATGTACTAAATAAGCTTGTATTAGTGATTTGCATTTTTACTTCACTTTTTTTTTAATTCAAGGACATCCTTACATTAAAATATTTTTAAGTTGAAGAAAAAGTAGAAAAGTAGAGCTTTAGGGAAAATGGAAAACTCCAGCCCATCATGGGAAATGTAGCAAAGATCTGGCCGCTCCCCACCTGTAGGGGTGAGCTGAGGCGGGCTGGGGCAGCAGTCAGGGCTCTCGTAAGGCTCTGGCCTGAACTAATCTCCAGTACTTCTTGTCAATCCCAGCTGCCTGAGGGGACTGCTGCCAAGCCCTCCGCCGACTGTGCCGAACAGTGCACGCTGTCCTCTGCGGCAGGATCTCACGGCAGAGCCGCTCAAGAGAACAGTTCTGTTTCTACCACAAAGATAAGGAGCTATCTGATCAAAGCAATTCCTGATTTTTATTTATTGCACATATGAAAAACAAAATCCTTCATCCCATTACCCTCCTAACAAATCCAGAATTTTCTGTTCTCTTCCCAACCCTGTTCAAACACTACAGTGTTCCACTGAGTTGATACAGTATTATGTATCCAGCCACCCCCTTCCCACTAGACATATAGGTGAGATTCTCCTCTTATGCTATTACAATAACACTGCAGTAAACATGTATATAGCATTTTGTGTCTGATAAAATAAGTCTGTAGCTGGGTCAAAGGGTACGCTTTCGTCTTCCATGTGTGTCTGCAAGTGGTTTGAAAAGATGAGATGACTGACAGTTGGTCTCATAGAATATGTAATATAATTCCGTGTATGTTTGTTGGACAGATTCAGTCATCTACTTAGAAATTCACTTTAAAAAAAAAGCACTACACACAGGAGTTTTCCTATTTTTTACAAACATGGATAATTTTCAGAAAACTAAATGGGGAGTAGCCCATGCTCTGCACCACTGGTGAGACTGGGAAGCTTAAAGAACTATGGGCTCATCAGGTAGCAGTTAACAGCACCTGTTCTTTGGCTACGCCATTTCATGACAAGGAATGGGATGGGTGTTGGAGGATTGGTATACAACAAATAGGTCTTCCTTTAGGAACTTTAAAGACAGGACATTCTTCTCTGGCTGGGAAATTAACCTGAAAAAAGAAAAGATGGATTTTGGGGAGAGGTCTCTCCTAGCCCCTGCTCATGTTCCTGTCCTGAGAAAAGAGTCTAGTGGGGTCAAGAATAAAATGAACAAGTATGCTAGGGAGCAAGCTGACTCTGAAGGCAAATCTGAGCACTAGATCTAGGCAGGAATATCCTGCCTCATAAATCACCTAGTCAGAAAAGGATATTTCAAAAGGGGCTTCCATATACTGCTGGGAGGCTGAGCCAGATTAAATCCCTTCCTATCAAAAGACTGTCTTCCCCAACCCAGAACATACAGGATAGGCACAACTCTCAACTATCACAAGAGATACCTTTCCTCCTCTTCCAAGCACCATACATTCATTCAACAAAACATTAATTGAGCACCTACTGTGTGCCAAGCACTATGCCAAGTTAGAGCAAAAGTGTACAACACAAAATAAAATCTCCAAAGGAAATGTATTTAAACTTTAACAAAAGGAATTTGGGTCAGGCATCAGAGGAAACTTACTGACCGTGAGGGGCGTAAGACACTGGCATGGGAGACTGAGGGAGCTTGTGCAATCTCCTTCGCTGGAGGTCTATAAAGATAGTCTAGGGCTGGAACAATCCCACCTAGAGGCAGGGGGAAGGACCAAATGACCTCACAACATCCCTGGGTCTGCTTCATCATCCATAATGCAATTCCCCTGGCAGGCCAGCAGCAACTCCCTCTTCCCCCCACCCACCAGAGGAACTTACCACTGAGCTCTTCTCAAGTAGGCTTTTATATAAGTGTCATCAAGCTTCACTGCATTTGTGCAGTCTTCTATTGCATCATCTAGTTTCCTAAGCTTCAGGAAAAAGAGAGCAGTCATACTTCACATCTTGGGTGATGAGGGAGCCCAGAAGCTGTGGGCATGGCTTCAAAATTCTAAGAGGATCGATCAGTCATGCTGGCCCCCTAACCACCCCCCTCATTCTTGGTCACTGGAAAGCCAGTATCTCAGAGGGCTAAGGACACCAAATTCAAAACTGGTTTCTTTTCTAAATGATGGAAGCAAAGCATACTTATCTGCAAGGATAAACCACCTCTACCATTCCAGGTTAGTGCCCAACCAAGACATGGAAAGAGTAAGGGTGGTTCTTGCCTCCTATTCTTCCAGAGGCCAACTGGAGGAATCAGAATTACTGTGATTTTTAAACTACTAGGACTCTGTAAGAGCAAGGAGCCTATTCCTTCTGACAGTTGTGTGGGACACAACTTAGGACATTTTCAACTGAGCATGGTGACCATCAGTTATACTGGAGAAAAAAACTAAGCCTGCCTCATACTCGAATTTCCTCCAAATCACTCCTAAAAAAGAAACAATCACTTGCTTAGGCAAAAAGAAGCAATACTTGCTTTAAAAATTGTCCCAAAGCCTCTAGCCATTCTTTTACTGGAAGAAAGAAACTTGAACAGGCGGGAATATCCTTCCAAACTGTCCCTCAAGTGCCCCTAAATTCCACAGAAAAAATAAAAGCTTGCCTCTCAGAAGGAAGTTCCTAACGAGCTGAAATATCAACCTTTCCTCATCTGGCTTACTCTCATTGGGCATATTTCCCAAGACTTCTTTGTTGGCCCTTAAAAACATCTCCATAGGCCCCAAGCCCCAGACCAAGTGCTTACCTTGGAATTAACCGTACCCCGATTACAGTAGAGTTTAGCATTTGTTTTTATATTATTGGGGTCTATCCCCAGGGCTTCTGTGTACAGTTCATATGCTAGCTTGTAATTTCCTTCTTTAAATGCTTTATTCCCATCTTCTTTCTTTGCTTTAAGTGCTTTGGCATTCTACAGAGAAAAGCAAGGGGAGGTCAGTTCACATCCAGAAAGCCTCGTCTGAGAGGCCACTGCACAGAGAGGCCAGAGTCTATTTTCAATCTCTTAGATCCCAGCGGTTTAGCATCACATGGCCCTCCACCCTGCCCAACCCCACCACCTGGGCTATTTGTTGCTCATTGGTGCTTCCTACAGAGTGGACAGGGGAAACCAAGATTTATAAAAGAATACCAATGAGACCTGTGTTACCCAGGGTTTACCTCCACTCCCCAGGATAAGCATTACTATCTTTTCTTCACTGAAGGAAGAAAAAAAGAAAAAACACACTTAGATATTAAAAGGATCTGACCCTATAGATCACATTTACCTTTAGGCAAATAAAAGTTGCCCTGAAATAATTTCTCATGACAGGATCAAGCATCCTGGCAAGGAGGGAAGAAGTGCTATCACATTCCCTGTGATTCTAAAACCTTCCACCTTAACTCTCTTATAAAGGCTCAAAAAGAAAGCTTTCTTTCCTACCCAGATCTGGTGCCTAGAACTTACTCTGCAAGCAACGCAGGCCTTCTCATGGTCAGGAGCCATCCGGAGAGCTTGGACAAAAAACTGAACCGCCTTCTCAATACAATCTTCATAATAAAGGCAAAGACCTCGTACATATAGAGCATCGGCATTGGTGGAGTCCATTCGTAAAATGTCACTGCAACAGCCAGAAAGGGGCACATTCAGCTGTGGTTTGGATCTCCCCCACCATTACTATCATTTGGCCAGTTTTCTTCTTGACCATGTGTGTGTCTAATACGGAAAGTATCCAAAAGTAGATTCCCAAGCACTCTTCCCAACCTGTTCCCAAATAAATCACCTGTATCTATCCTTATATACTTCTTGTGTCTCACAATCTTTATTAGATCAGGGGTTGGTAAATACAGCCCACAGGGCCAAATCCTATCTGCTGCTGGTTTTTGTAAATAAAGTTTTATTGAAACTTAGCCACACCATTCGTTTATCTATTATCTATGGCTGCTTTTACACTATAGTGACTGAGCTGAATTGTTAACAGAGACAACACGGCCTGCAAAGCCTAAAATATTTACTATCCAGCCCTTTAGAGTTCACAAACCCCTTGAGTAGAAAGAAACGGACATTTAAAAAAACAAAACAAAACAAAAATCCACACATCTCTTCTTTCACATATAGCTCAAGTACCTACTGAACTCCTGTATAAATACCTTTGGATTTTCGGTATAATACCCGGTCTAACCTTTGGCTTTAAGTCCCAGGAAGGTCTGATCACCCTGGCTGGCCTACCTACAGGACAATATGTTAACTCCTGTTGTAGGGAACTGCCAGACAGCATTCGTCCAGTGGTATCCGGCATTTTAACACAAAACTGGCCTGACTTCATACCTGGCCACAGACTGTGCTTCTGGATAACGACCCAGCATTGCTAAACATTCTGCTTTGAGGATTTTGAAGCGATGGCAGGCAGGGGCATATTCTAGGGCACGGTCCATGCAAAAAACAACCTATGGGGAAGAAGAGAGCAAATAAGGTTCTTCATCCTGGACTCCAGAAAATGTCTTGACTTTAGTTTGGTCACAGGCAACAGATTCAAAGGGAAGTGATACCAGAGTTTAAGAATATACCTGTTTAAACAAACAAACAAAAATATACATATACACACACACACACACACAAACACACCCCTAACTTATTTGATTAAACCACTGAAATGAGGAGAGCAGCTGATCCAGATGATAATGATGACAGCAAACATTTACTGAGTACTTTATATATTAACCCATTTAATGCCCACAACAATTTTCTGAAGCAGGTAATATTAATACCCTTATTTTACTGATGAAAAAACTAAAGTACAGAGATTAAGTAACTTGTTCAAGGTCACCAAAGCTTGGACCTTGGACCAAATAGGAACAGAATTTGATCTCAGACACGAAGACTCCAGAGCCTATAACCTTAATCACCATGCTAAGGTGCCTCCACAGGGAATCATATCAATAGTGACTGTGATCAAAACTCACATTCTTCTAGTAGAAATACCATTATTTGCTACTTTGCATAATTCATCATGCTTAGCTTACTAAGTAAGACAAGGAATACCAAAAACAGAACCTGATAAAGAATCATCACTCCCTATATTACTGCAATTGCTCACAGTTCCCTCCTTCCTGTGGCATGAGCCTCACATGGCGGCCACTCTTCCACTTCCACTTTAGTACAGAAATAGCTAATGATTAGTTTGCTTTCAATAGTCCTAAACTATACCTAACACATTGCTATACAAACCAAAAAGGTCCCCCCCCCACACACACACACACACACCTGAGATTATTTCAGTCTTTCAGCTTCATAAAGACTTCCATATATTCCTATTTTTTTCTGAGCTTTCACTTTGGTTTATCTGTTATTCTTGGGAAATCCTTCCTGAATCATATTCTCCTCCAAGAATAACTGACCCAATGGAGAAATCTGGAGTTAAGGGACACCTGTTCCGTCTAAGAATCTGGTCATAGGGATCAGGAAGAGATGAAGTCTGAAAACTGGAAGCAGAAATAACTCAAATTCCATCAACAGGAGACTGGTTAGGCAATGTAGACACTCATATACTAGAACACTACTATGTGGATCTAAAATAGAATAAAGAAGTTCTGCATATACTAATATGGAAAGACTTCCAAGGTCTATTAAGTGGGCGGGGGGGGAAGCAAGGTACAGAACTTTGCAGAGCACTATTACCTTTCATGCAAAAAAGAAAGAAAGAAAGAAAGAAAATTAAGAATCTATCTTTGTATTTGTTGGGAATTCCCTGGCGGTGTTTTCACTGCTGGGGCCAGGGTTCAATCCCTGGTCGGGGAACTAAGATCCTACAGGGCATGAGGTGCGGCCAAAAAAAAAAAAAAAAATTCTGTATTTGTATCTGTTTATGTAGAACAAAACTGTGGCAGTAAATAGAACAAGAACAGTGGTTACCCTAATGGGTGAGAAACAGGCAGATGGAAGACAAGTTTGGAGGGAGCACTTATCACTGAGTAATTGTTTATACTTTCTAGCTTTTGAACCAAGAATAGCACCTACTCAAATATTTAAATTTAAAAATAAAGGGAAGTAGGTAAACACCAATGAGCTGTTGCACTGGGAAGGCTTTCCGCAGTGTCAACAGAGCAGTGGTGGGGACACCTTTCCTTGAATGGCACAGCTTATGTTCTAAGGACAAAATGAAAATGCAGGTACTGAGCAGGGTAGTCATGGTGCTAATTTTCTCCTGCTTAAACAGAAAAAGAATCAGGAGGAGAGCAGTCAGTTAAAATGTAAGCAGCCACAACCTGCTGCCTTTGTGACGTTCTGTACGGAGATGGTTTAGCTCATGGTGGGGAGTGTCAGTTGGAGCCTCAGGGCTTCACTTCCCACCCCCACCTCCCCATGACTATGGACAGCTGCAGGCAAAGAAGATCTTTGTTTCTTCCAAGTTCATCTGTTTCCCCTGCCAGGATCATAATTCTTCATTTGTGACATCACCATGAACTACAGTGGGGGTGCTGGGATGTCACAAACAGAGGATTCTGTCACAGACTAGGGATTCTGGCTCCAGGGTGGGCAAGAAAGAAAAGAAACCCAAAAGACCGCCTTTTGAGACAAAGCTTTTGCCTATGCAAAGCTCTAAAAATGTGACACGAGGCAGAATTGCTTTCCAAACACACACACACACACACAAAACAAAGTATGAACTGCACTACAAAGACACTGTGGTTATTAAAACCAATGGACAGAAGAGGGACGCTAATAAGTTAATGCTAGGACTCTGTATAAGCTTATCAGATATTACCAAATAAAAGACTGTCACAGTTTGTGACTTAAGAATAATTCTTAACTGTACCCTTTTATCAAGCATTTGAGTACCTGCTACAGAAAGCACTGGCAAATTCCCACATATGAAGTGACAACTCCAGTCCTTGGATGATACAATCTTAAGTGATCCTGAAAACTGATCCTGATCAGTGGTTTTTAACCCTTTCAGGGGCCACTTACCTCCCCTTTTGAAACTCTAGTGAAAGCTACTTCCAAGTTCCATCTAAAGAAGGGAATCAGGAATTACTCAGATGAGAGAGAACCACTACAAACAAGACTTAGAAAGATACCTGGAACTTTGATACCTTTCCCATGCTTCACATAGGTCAATCCCTTTGGCATATGCATTTTTCATGTACTATCACACAGCTCCATAAAGGACGGTAGTGTGCTTCTGTGGAAAGGCTTAACATCAAAAAGGTATGACGACAGGTTACGTACACTATTCAAAAATGTAAAAGGGGCCTTTATTTTTTATTTATGGCTCCATCTAGATCACACAAAGCAGGTGTTAAAAGTTAGCTCTCATTATTCTAATAAAAATGGGTTATCCAAACCTAATATTTAATTCCAACTGGCTTTTCCTCTACTAACCAGCATACCTTATATCAGAAACAGGAACGAACTCAAGTAACAAACTCATACCGCTTTTTATGATAAAGCGAAATATAATTAAAAAAATAAGAACCTTAACAAAAAAAAATTTTTTTAATGTTGATGATGTGGAGCGACAGAAACGCCCATTCATTGCTGGTGGGAATGCAGAATGATACAGTCACTTCTGAAGACAATTTGGTAGTTTCATGCAAAACATAACATACTTTTACCACAGGATCCAGCAACTGTGCTTCTTGGTATTAACCCAAAAGAGTTGAAACGTATATCCATACAAAAACCTGCACAAAGATATCCAGAGCAGCTTTATTCATAATTGCCAAAAACTTGGTTGTAACAAAATGTATCTCTGGAATTCTCCTCTGGGGAACACTGATAATGGGGGAGGCTACGCATGTGCGGGACGGGATATATGGGAAATCTCTGTACTTCCCTCTCAATTTGGCTGTGAACCTAAAACTCTAAAAACAATAAATACTCTAAAAACAATAAATAGAAGTCTTTAAAAAAAAAAAACAGGGAAAGAAAAGGTCAATGCCAAATTAAAGTGATAATTTACTATACTAGATCTTCTGTACCATACTACTCCTCTAATTACCTCACACACACACACACACACACACACACACACAAACTTTGTGAGAAAAGTGTAGATAAGACTTCCTCACAGTTGTACTTTACCTTCCGAAAATCCCGCTTCTCAAAATCCGTTTCTGCTATTTTCTCATATTCTAGGACTGCATTAGCATTCTTGAACTATACCAGAAAAATCATATAAGAGAGTTTTAATGAAGTTGCAGATTCAACAACCAGAAAAACCAACAAGGACTTGATGAGTTTATTTCAAGAAAATCAGAACCACAGACTTTTCACAAATCAATTTGGTGAAGATATAGCCGAGACTCCTTAACAGAAAGGTTAAGGCCCAACCTTTACCCTCAGTTTGAACTTAAGGTCAGAAACAAAGGAGCCATGATACAACATACATAAAGTAAAAGGCACTGTCAGAGGTTCAGTGAGATTCTCACTAAATGCATCCAGGAGTTAATTAGGTACATATGAAGATGCAACTAAAACATCTTTTAGCTGCTACCAATTTAATCAGGATCTGAATTCAAATTTTTTAACCTCACTGAAATCAGTTCCTTGACGCATCTGCCCATCCTCCCAGCTATCTCAGAAACCCTCCAAATTTCACAGATTTTCAAAGCTGTAAATCATATTCAAAATTCCTTTTACAGATAAGGAAGCTGAGGCTCGGAGACTATGAGACTTGCACACAGTCACCCAGGTGTGGCTGATGGCAGAAGTGAGACAAGATCTCAGTTCTGATTCTCAAGTCACTATTCCTCCCAAATATACCACCCTGCTGTTTCTTCTGATACTGACGGCATCAGACCCATACCTCCTGTTGTGCCTGAGCATTTCTGTGATCCAGTTCTAGGGCTCTCTGGAAACTACGACATGCCGCCATGGCATTCCCTAGAGATAGGTGGCATTTGCCCTCTCGTAGATGTCCCTAGAAGAAACACAAAGAGGGAAGAAAAGGAGCATGACTGGCCAAGCCAAAAGAAATCAACAGCAGCAACATGCACACAAAACCAACAAGGGATGGAGCAGCACGGTTCTCAACCAGGGGTGATTCTGCCTTCCATGGGACATTCAGCGACGTTAGAGATATTTTTGGTTGTTACAACTGGGAAGGGAGGAGAGTGCTACTCATAGATTAGTGGTTAAAGGCCGGGGATCTACTGAAAACACCCTATAATGCACAGGATAGTTCCCCACAATAAATTATCTGGCCCCAAATGTTAACAGTGTCAAAACTGAGAAACCCTGGGCTAGAGGAACTCAGACCCCCCCCAAACAGCCCCATTACATACCCGAACAAAACTGTCATCCAACCTCACTGACTGCTGTGCATCTCCAAGAGCTTCCCGGAACTTTCCAAGCATCATCAAGGTGGCTGCTCGATTCCCGTAATAGCTAGCATTTTTAGGACACATATCTACAAGAAAGGCAGAAGAATGTGAAACGAAGTTTAGCATGGGTCACTGCTTCAAAAACTCAGGGGCCGTCTCCCTCAGAACTGTATCAAGGCAATCAAACTAAAACAGGAATGCTGACATACTCTAAAAGGCCACAGCCAAATTTTTGACTACTTGGACAAATGGACAGCAGCAATGGTGCAACCACTTTACAAAGACAAGTTATTTAAAAATACGGGGCTTCCCTGGTGGCGCAGTGGTTGAGAATCTGCCTGCCAATGCAGGGGACACGGGTTTGAGCCCTGGTCTGGGAAGATCCCACATGCCGCGGAGCAACTAGGCCCGTGAGCCACAACTACTGAGCCTTGCACCTCTGGAGCCTCTGCTCCGCAACAAGAGAGGCCGAGATAGTGAGAGGCCCGCGCGCTGCGATGAAGAGTGGCCCCCGCTTGCCACAACTAGAGAAAGCCCTCGCACAGAAACGAAAGACGCAACACAGCAAAAATTAATTAATTAATTAATAAACTTCTACGCCCAACATTAAAAAAAAATAGCTTGGGAAAAGAATTGCTTAGGATACTTAAAAATATATATATATATACGTACATATAATAATAATAATTTATACTTAGCTTTAAAGTGCACTGATTATCCTTTATGGGTTAAGGGGTTAGCATATTTGTCTTCTTAATGATTTGTGTTTTATGTAATAAGATATGAAAATGAACTTGCATTTGTTGAGTTGGGGGTGGGGAGCCTGTAAACAAGTTAGGTGAGAAAAATGCTGGCATGGGATTAAAATATACTGGCAAATTGAGCATGGAGGTAACTAAGACTTGTTAATATCTACAAAGGCCATTTTCTAAGATGGTAAATGAATTGGCAATGGCTGAGATGCATTTAGGTGGGTATCTTATTGCCATATTATCTAGAATTTCTAGAACTGCCTTTAATTTGCCAAATGAAGAACTACCTGCTTGAGCTAGAAAAAGTTATCCCTCATAACAGGGGGCCCCAACCCCCGGGCCGCCAACCGGTACCGGTCCTCGGCCTGTTAGGAACCGGGCTGCACAGCAGGAGGTGAGCGGCGGGTGAGTGAGCGAAGCTTCATCTGCTGCTCCCCATCGCTCGCATTACCGCCTGAACCATATCATCCCCCCCACCCCGCCCTGTGGAAAAATTGTCTTCCACCAAACTGGTCCCTGGTGCCAAAAAGGTTGGGGATCACTGCCACTAAGGTCATTAAACCCGAAAGACTTCACACAGTAACAGTTATCAACCCACTATGCAGAAAGACTACTTCTTAGAGAGGAGCTATTTATAACAGTATTTGGCGGGGGTTTTCCTGGTGGTGCAGTGGTTAAGGACCTGCCTGCCAATGCAAGGGACACGGGTCTGATCCCTGGTCCGGGAAGGGTCTGGGAAGACCCCACATGCCGCGGAGCAACTAAACCCGTGCACCACAACTACTGACTCTGTGCTCTAGAGCCCTCGAGCCACAATTACTGAGCCCATGTGCCACGACTACTGAAGCCCGGGCGCCTAGAGCCTGAGCTCCGCAACAAGAGAAGCCACCGCAATGAGAAGCCGGCACACTGCAGCGAAGAGCAGCCCCCACTTGCCGCAACTGGAGAAAGCCCGCGCACAGCAATGAAGACACAACGCAGCCAAAAAATTAAATAAATAAAAATTTAAAACAACAACAATATTTGGCAAATTATTTTCCAGTGTATCCCTTCTCACCTATGGCTTTTGTATAATAGTTATAAGCTTCATTGTAATCTTTCTTGGCATAGTATGCATTTCCTTGTTCCTTGAAAGACTCTGCTTCCCTGAAAAGGAAAGAGAAAGAGAATCATGTTACTATACCGAGGGAATAACCCCTGTAATCTCATGGGAACAATCTTTTGGTCTAGAGCCCCCAGCACATTGAGCTGAAAGTTTACGTGATACTTGAAGGAATTTATAGATTTGTTTGATGGGCTGATGGACCAAAAGGAGGTGCTAATGAACGAATCCAAGTTCTTCAGATGCTATTTTTTGTCACTTAGATACATTCAAACTGAATCAAGAAACCTCTCTGATGTTGCCTGACCTTTCCTCACTACTCCTACCTGTAATCATTCCCCTTAGGACAGGCAAATTTAGACATTCTCTCACAGAGACGGAATTTTTATATTTATTTCCTTTCCACTGTGTCACAACTTCTGCCTCTTTAGCAAACTTACAGAAAGTCAGTTATAGGTAATGCCGTTCGGGGCAACTGAGTTCTCGATGTGAAATGGGTCATATTCTTGGAGTTTTAATGATTTACTCTCTTGAAAACTGGCTCATGCATTTGTCACCGGAAGGACAAGCAGAGCAAAAGCAGGTGGCAAAGGTGTTAAAAGCACAGCATATTGGTGTTTAAGATGGAGGACAGAGTTCAGTGACAGCAGAGACCAAGAACTTCGATGACAGGGACATACAAAACATAAACTGCCAGTGCCATGCTCTAACAAGTACCCACCTACTGATGCTCTCTGCCCATCACATCTATGTGGATACTTAACTGCCTCCTCAACCATCCCTCTAGTACCTTGTATAACCACCCAATGGCGTGGTTATGAATATCAAAAATTTTGCCCTACTCCAAGATCCATTTTTTTGAAGCTGTGCATGAGACAAACTGTACCTTCCAAAAGAAACAATGATATATAATTGCAAATTATATTCTTGACCAAAGAACTAGAATCAAATCAGACATGACCAACAATGCCTCAAAGAACAAACTTGTAACCTCTATCAGAGATACCCAAAATCACTCTAATGACCAACTTGAGTGACAAAGGTAATTCTTTACCAAAACGATTACTGCAACATAGCTAAATATCTGGCATTTCTGTTATAAGGAAGAATCTTTGTTTCTTTTTCTGTCCTCCACGCATGCTAAAAGCCCAGTTCAAGGGCTGCCTGAAGTGGGGACAAAAATACAGTTCTTAACCTTGGTGATGGTATAGGAGTTTACAGCTTGATTCCATGGACATCGGCAATGGGAAGATTTGTGATTTTATTTACTCACATATTTTAAACTACAGACTGGCAAAACCACCCTCCTTTTATTGAGGCGATCTCCCTTTCCATTCTTCTCCATCACTGTCCTGGCAAGCCCTATTAACAAGAAAAGTCTGCCAGCAGAAAGGAGACGGAAAATGGGGGATTTCTCTAGTGGTCCAGTGGTTAGGACTCGGCGCTTTCACTGAGGGGGCCTGGGTTCGATCCCTGTTCGGGGAACTAAGATCCCACAAGCTGTGTGGCATGGCCAAAAAAAAGGGAGAAGGAAAATGGAAATGACCTATAAATGCTGACAGATTTGAACTGTGATGGATTTGAATAATTTTATTACACCAACTGTCACAATGCTGTAAAGAGGCCATCTGCTATTAAAAGTTCTCAAGAAGGATCCCCCAACTGAAAGACTTATAAGACCAAGCACAATCTTTCCCCATGCTGAACAACTCTAAATTAAGCCAGGCACTATAAGAACTATGAAGAACCTATCCTTTAAGAGCAGACATGCCAAAAGATTTGAAGAAGGGGCTTCCCCAACACTGGATGTCAGAAGTTGAATTAAACCACTATGAAGAAATGGAGTAGTAAATTCAAAAGCAACAGGCCCACACTGTACCTGAAAAGATCTAGCCTTCTATTCAGTCAGCTAGTGGCTAAGACCACACAAATCCTTGAGGAAAACCAAAGGCATCTGGGCACTTGGATAGACGTTGTATCAGCATATAAAGCTTGTGAGTCAAAGGAGGAACAATCTGTAGAAATACAGAGATGCCCTTTCTTTCCTGAAACACTCACTCCAGTGGAGGCCATGAGTTCAGCATTGGCTTTCCAGCAAAAATGTAAAGGATGACTTCTGTGGAAAATCAGTAATTATTACTGAGGCCATGTACTTCCCATACATTATCTTATCAGGTGAGTTTCATTATTCCCATTTTTCAACAGAGGAAATTAAGGGTTAGAGATTAAAAACTGTCCAGAGGGTCGGGGTGTAAACCCAGACCTGCAGATCCCAGAGCTGTGCCCTATCTACTATGCTAAGCTCTCTCTCTCTAATGCTCATCTCTACCTATTGCCTAAGACTTTAAAAATTAATCTGTACTGCTAAGAACAATGAATATGAATTTCTTTCAACTAAAACACAAAATAGCCCCAGCGTATAAAATGCAACTCCAGAACTGCAACCTGGATTTAAACAAGCCAAATGACATTCCTAACAATCAGTCACAGACAGAGTAAGGCTCCTTTCCCTTTAAGATGCAAGACCTACTGAACTGGACTTTGCCTCCCCCAAGAAATGCATTTCATTTTAGTAAATGGTGAGTAGATTCCATTCTAGAGCAAACAAAGCGAGTAATGTAGAGTCAGCCCACAGCAGAAAAGAACAAGAAGAATTGTGTTGTGACACGTTACCATGTTTTTAACCTCACACTGCACAGCATCAGGCCAGAATTAGCTATTCCCACACAACTGCCTCATGAAAAGGACTTATTTTCATAGAAACATGGTTGATTAACAGCTGCCTAAACAATGGGCACTTAGTGCTTTTAGACTGAATGCTTATTTTTTGCCTCCAGGTCCAACGCCCAAAGTGGAGTCCCTCCGTCATCTTGAACCTCCCCACCAAATACACGACAAGCTTTAACCAATGGGCCTGACCCTGCGAGACCAGCCGAGGAAAGTGTGGATCTTTGGAATCCAGCATGGCAGCAGCAAGAACTGAACAAGGCTGCATCAGGAACAATTCCAGGGTCAAATCCATTCAAGTCCTGCCTGGGAGTCTGAGAAAGGGCTGAAGCTTGTTCAAGTTGCCCTTACAGCAAAGGGACTGAAGGATGAGATGTCAAAGGCGTAGGACTGGAAAAGAAGGAGAAGAGCTGGTTAACACTGGAACTGAGGGCAATCTGGCGGTGGCATCTGTCACTCCACTCACTGCCAGTCAATTCATTTGAGAACCAAGTGAGGTTACAACATGTACCTAACTAAAACACATCAGTACTAAGAAAGGAAGAATTAGGATTAACTGAGTTCACCTGGATTAGGTAAAAAAAGGAACAGATTCCAAAAGGGACTACGTTAAACTACAGATTATTTTCTGTGGCCACAAAATAAAATTCAGACTAAACCCTGAAATACAACACATCAAAATATAGACTTGAAAAAAAAAAAAGGGCTTCCCTGGTGGCGCAGTGGTTGAGAGTCTGCCTGCCGATGCAGGGGACACGGGTTCGTGCCCCAGTCTGGGAAGATCCCACAGGCCGCGGAGCGGCTGGGCCTGTGAGCCACGGCCGCTGAGCCTGCGCGTCCGGAGCCTGTGCTCCGCAATGGGAGAGGCCACAACAGTGAGAGGCCCACGTACCGCAAAAAAAAAAAAAAAAAAAAAAAGACTTGGCCATAACTGACCCGATGACACTATTAGCAGAGACTGTATCTCTAGTGCATTTTCAAATTTTCAAAACATTTCCAATGAGGATCTTCAAAACGGCCTTCTGAAGTGGTGATGGTGATAACATCACATGTCCTCCAACAGACGAAGAGCTAGTGAGGCACCCAAGGTGGCTGCACAGGTTTCCTAAATCTTAGAGTCCCATGTTTTCCCCGCTAGATCCTGTGAGTGGCAAGGTTTTTGGATTAAAACTAATTTATCCAGTTCCCCACCCAATCGTTGGATCACCTCTAAGCAGAAAAAGCTTCACTTCTCTGATTCACCAAGAGATGCTGGGAATGACTATCTCTACCAGACCAGTCCTTTCACTTGAATAGCCAGCAACAAATTCCTGTGAAAACAGCTCATGAAAGGTTTTCCAAAAACTCTGCCCGCTTTGGATGTATGATGGGAGGGTGTCCCACAACGGGATCAGTGCCAGAGGGCCAGGCCGGCCTTCTCTCTGACAGACATAGGTTAGGAGGATACATTCTACTCTTGCTCTGCTTTGCTATTTTAAAATGTATTTATTTTTCAGAAATAACCTCATCAATCAGAAAACTGCAGTATGAAAACCTGCTCTTCTAACACTACATGTGCGTGGAAAATCTGTATATCCTCTGATCACACAGTTCCATTCTCTCTCTCCCAATTTAGCACTCATTCATCACAGATGCTAATTACTCCAACAAACACTGCCAAGGGAATCATTTGGTATCACACAGGTCTTAGCAGGGCTCAGCATCATGTGATCAAATCAGACAACTTGGGCTTACGATCACCAGCCAACTTTGCACATTTACAGATAAATTAAAAACAAATTAAAACACCACAGTTGAAATCGTAATGTGCCCCAAATTAGATGCTCTATAAAAACTTCCATTTTCTCCCTAAATACTTCCAAGTTGAACACTTAAGCAATATCTTTGCCTTAGGCCAACTAGTCTATCTTCTAGAAATTAAAGAGGTATTTAGAAACTTTACTCAACTCTCACTAATGCAGGATTCACTGGCAAGTAGTTTTTTTTTAAAACGTCTCAACATCTCTGGGTTCTCTCTGGAATTACTTCACATGTGTATGTGTAATGTACCATTTTTAGATTTATTCTACCCCACTGCATGAAAAATAAAGACTAACATGGCTTCACTAGCCTACATTTGCAACTGAGGAAATACTGATTAGATTTTTGAATGACCAAGGGCAGGGGGGGAAGCGGGGGGTAAACCACAGTACTCTTATTTATTTCAAGTATTTGGCTAGAATAATGTATTTTTAATAAAGTTCCGCTCTTCTAATAGCCATTAATCCCAGTTTAAATCAAAACAGATGTAGCAGCTTGAATGAGATCTTTTTTTTCT